ATTATTAATAAATAAATAAACTCATTTAATCAATTGAATAATTATTATATAAAATAGTTATATTAATTATCTATGACTAATAATATAAAAATATTTTATAATAAATACAATATTTTATTAATTGATTATTAATTAATATCTTATCATAAGATGATAAAATCAAAAATGTTAATTATAATAATAATATTCAATTAATATAATTATAATATATAATAATAAATTATGTAATTAAAAATAAATAATATAAATCATTTATTTGAATAATCACTCCATCCACTAAGAGTTAGATTCTATTTTTAAGATTCAATATTAGTTAATCTTTGTTTAACTTTACTTTTTGGAATAATACTATGATAATAATGATTAGTAGTTTATTATCTGTTTGATGTTTAAGTATAATTGTTTGTATTTCTATTTATTTTACATGAGACATGAGGTTAAATTACTGTTGTTAGTGTTTCTTACTTTAGTAATTTAAATTCTTCCAAATATTGACTTAATTGCATATCATTATAACGAAAAGATGCTGGTTTTTGTTCAGTGTAATTGCTATTGCATACTTCAATAACAGGGGTTTCATTGGTTTTTTTAGTTATCAATCTTTAAGTCTTAGAGATTGGATTTACTAATATTTCCTTTTGCATAATTGGTTTAAGCTTTCCTATGCCAGATTGCCTTTATAAGAATATGTTTTTGGATTATAAATCTAAGACTGTTGAATTTCTATTGAGAAGCTCTTTAGGTTTCTCGAGTTCTTTACTGAGTGGTTTCTATAAGTTATACTTCTGTAATTGTAATTTATTGATTGTTATGTTTTGGGCTCGTATTAATTAGAGATTATAATTTTACTAGATTTAATGTGCGAATGTTCTAAGTATCCTATATGATATCTATTGATAGTATTAATTTAATAATCCTAAAGATTAATGTTAGGATTAAATTTAGCATTAGTTCTTCTTGTTTTTTGATAGTGACTAAATAGATTCTTATCATTAAATTCTTCATCAACTAATATAGACTAATATCTTATTAGGTAAATCTTACTTAATCCTAGTTATTCATTATTATTTATTATCAATAAATATTTACTAAATTAAATTTATAAGAGGAATAGATGATTATACTTAACAAAAATAAAATGATAATCAAAATATGAATAATGAACTAAGAAAAATCTTAGGAATTAATATAGGATGGAAATATTCATAAAAAGTAATCTAATAAAAAGGTAAATAAAGATTAGAGTAAGAATAAATAATAATAAAAGATCAAAAGAGAATAAGAAAGATGATTTAATAGTTAATTAAAGATTAAAAATAGAAAAAGAAATAAATAAATATTTGTTTCAATAGACTAAATAAATTTCTGTAATTTTATTTATTATAAATATAAATATAGAATTATAATATAGAGTAATCTTCAAAAGCTTTTGTTTTAAGTATTAATATATTACTGTTTTGAAATTTGTTATTAACCTCCTCTTTATAATCTTAAAACAGTAGAAATATCTAATTATTTTAGAGCATAACTTCTTTGTTTTTTATCAGCATAAGTTCTTAATATGAAATATTATTTTGCATATTCACCAGAATTAACATAAAGATGATATTCTATTAATTTCAAGAAAACCTTTTCCATCTCATTTATTTATAAAGTTGAAAATTATGGTAACACTTTTGCAAAATTATTATTTTCAAAAGATTCATCATCCCATATTTTAGATGCCATAATCAATGATGTAAATAAAATCTTTTGCCAATTAAAACAATTTAATTCTAATCCTTAATTATATGTTAATAATCTATTTATGTAAATCATAGATATAATTGCAACTTCTCTTTCCATTTTAGTAGTTGTCATTATATTTTTACAATAGTTTTATATAATATCAACATTAGGAATATAATTAGACATAGTTTTATCAATAAAAACTTTATTAAACAATAGAAAATCATCTAAATTATAAGTAGTATCAACTGAAAAATATGATTAAGAAACTTATTCTCTATCATATATATTTATATATTATACTTATTATCTTATACTTAAGAATAATTCTCTTATTCTTATTCAATTTATAATTTTGATTATTCACTTTAATCAATATTTTATATCTATTCAGTAGCAACATCTTCATTCCCATAATATTAATCTGTAATTTCAGGCTCTACAATACCTTCACTTAAGTAATCTTAACAATTTATTTCATCTGCCTTTGACATATTAACTGTCTAATCATTATTTACTTAATAATCACTATATCTTTCTTTATTTGCTATCATAATTATGTTTATATACATTTGGATTCGAATTCTTCATATTATTCAGACTCTTTGAAGATTGCTTGTTGAATTTCTTAGATTTCATTTTCGAGATATCTCTATTACTCTAAATCAACAATCGAAATCATTTTTTATAGAGTAATACCTACACAATAACTAATTTCTTCAATATCAATATTGATTAAGGTTGAAGCTAATTTTCCATTATCAAATGATTAATACATCAATTATATTTAATCTTACTATAAATCAATATCTGTTCCAATACTATTTTTTGTATTAATTTATTATAATTTCTTCAATAATTTATTATCTTTATCAGAATTTTACTTAATAATTGACTTTTTCTTTTTTGTTTATTTAATCTTTATTAAAGGATGATTAATTGTTTTTGATAATGATGATTTTGGAATTTCTTTAGTTATTGATAAAGAATTCCCATTAATAATTTCTTAATTGAAAATTAATTATTATGTTAAACTATCTATAAATTAAGGACTTTTATCATTATTACCATTAATAGAACTTCTTTCTAATTTTGGTAAAACTCTTGGTTTTATTACTCCTAATTCTTAAAGAGGAGAGAATTGTTTAAGAGATGCTCGTCTATTAGCTGGCTTTAGAATTTCAATAAAAGTTTCTCTTGTTTATTCTATTTTACCATGAGAATTAAATTATCCAGGTAATCCATTTCTATTTTATTAATTTTTATTTGGAGTTTATGAATTTTAGCTATTAAAATTATGAGGATCATAATGTTCGTTTAAATATTTAAACAAATCTAAAAATTTTTATTTATGTCCAGGTAATAATTTAATCTCTTACAATACTAGATTTTATGAATCTGTAGTTTATTAAGCTAATGTTTATAATCCACCTATATAACCTCTTAATAATAATTTATTTGTGTATTATTATAAATTGTATTCAATCAATTATCTAATATTAATATATCTCTCATTTACTTGAATAAAAAACTTTCCTTAATATCAGTTAAATTAGATCTATATGATACATGACTACTAAAATCTGTATCTCTATTTATTTGTTCTATTATATATTTTTCATTTATTACTTTTTATTGATTTTTTTTGATTACTAGGTACTGTAGACTTTGCATTCTAGATTTTATTTACATAACTCTTCATTCGGTATTCATCATCCCATTTTTTCATTTTTTATATATATATTTATAAATATATATAATAATAACCATAGTAATCAAAATTCATCTTTCAAATGACTCTATGTTATCTATCACTACCTAAATGACTTTATCTATATGCAAGTTTTGCCCTATTCATATTTTGAATTGTATTTACCAATAATTCTTATTTGGGGACAGTGTAGATTCATTTCGATACTTGAAGTAATCTTCATTAGAATCCAGTTTAAGTTGTAGATCTTTTTTCCGGCTTCGAAAACATCTACGACTTTAAACCTTGTTTTCAATTGTCATACTATAATTGCACACATATCCTAAATCCTTAAGATTAATTGATAACAGTCTTTCAACTCTTATTGCATTTCTTTGCTTTATTTTCTCTAAATTTTTAATATCCTATTCTAACTTCTGAATTATAGATTAAGTTCTCTATTAAGGCTTTAAGTTTACATATGTTTACAGTTTCATGTTATAATAACTAATTAAGAATGATTTATTATTCTAAGATATATATCATATATAACAGATTATATATATTTTATTAATAGATAAAACATTCACTTTAAATGCTATACTGAATTGATTATAGTAGTAGTATCCCTAATATAATCAAATTTTTTCTAATTCTTGATAATTTTCTTATTATTTTACAATATCTATTCTATATGTTAATTACTATCTAACAATAAGTATTATATACACACATAGGTTGATTAATTTAAATTAAACAAAATTGTTACCTTCTATTTAAAGTAGATTTATTATGTTCATTTAGAGTGTAGTATGTATAATTAAATTACTTATTACATAATTAAGAATAACTATTATAAAAGAATATCAATTTAATTTTGTGTAAAAGAATATCTATCACTTTTTAATAAAATTGCCAAAATACAAGGAAATTGGATCAAATTCAATTAAATGATAAATCTAATTTAATAGTTTAATAGAAGTATATTAGTAAGTGATTGATATTAGCTTTATAAAATGATTACTAATAATGATCCTAATTTTGAAATTAAATAATAAATTATTCTGATATTTATATAAATATAGAATGATATATAATTTAGATTTTTTATGTATTTAAATTGACACATAATTGTTTTTAAAAGATCTTCATTTTTTTGTTTCTCACTTTCAGTATTAATATTATATATTAACATTTTAATTATATTAAAGTCGTTGATCTATAAAGAATAGAAAAATCATGTCAAATTTTATATAAGAATTCAGAATTTATTAATAAAAATTTATATTAATATCTATGATTCATAATATCAACTAATTGTAAGATTATAGATTTATAGTATAATTAAAATTTTGTTAGCTACTTTAATAGATTTAACCCAATCTTCTATTTAGTTAATAACTATACTTGATTAATAAGGTATTAGTTTGATAAAGTAATTTGCATGTTTATAGTATATTAAATAGAAAAGAAAGTAGTGTTAGTAAGAAATTATGTATGAATACAATAGTGATAATAAAAGTTTGGAATATCTTAATTTAATGATGTTTATTTATAAATATATAATATTGATTGAAAAAATAAATATGAGATCCACTAAGAAACATGCTACTATACAAGGAGAGAATCAATTTAAATTGTCAGTTGGATAGATAATAGCTTAGAAATTTAAATTATTAGATAAAGTTGGATAAGGGAGTTTTGGTATGATATATAAAACAGAGAATTTGGAGACAGGTGATATCTTTGCAACAAAATTTGAGAAGAGAGAAGAGAATTCAAATGGAATGAGTTTATTGGTGAGAGAAATAAAAGTTTTAATAGAGGTTTAAGAATTTGAAGGTAATATACTAATCGATAAAGGTTTTCCATAGATCGTATTTTATGGGAGAGATGAACATTATAATTATTTTATGCAAACCTATTTGGGTTAGAATTTGGAACATCTTCTAAAGCGAAATAATTATAAACTTAGTTTGACAACTGTATGTAGGATAGGAATGAATTTGATAGATAGATTAAAATTATTACATTCTAAAAACTTGATTCATAGAGATTTGAAACCAGATAATATGTGTATAGGTTATGAGGATGTAGATTAAATCTATTTAATTGATTTTGGATTAGCAAAGTATTATAGAGATTAGAATGGTAATCATATACCATAGACAGAAAAAAAGGGAATTATAGGAACAGCAAGATATGCTAGTTTGACAGCTCATTTAGGTAATACATTATGAATATTAAATAAAAGCTAAAGAATAATCACGTAAAGATGATATTGAGAGTTTGGGATATGTATTAGTCTATTTAGCAAAAGGGAAATTACCATGGATGAATTTGAATACAACAACAAAGTCTGAAAAGTATTAGAAAATTAAAGAGTTCAAACAATAATTGACATTAGAAAAGCTTTGCGAAGGATTGCCAAAAGTTTAACCTAATTATCATCTTTTAAGTGTTTCTTGAATTTATTCATCTATGCACGTGGACTCGACTTTTAGGGTGAACCAGATTATGCATTCCTGAAAGAACTGTTCTAGAAATAATTACAATAAGAATTGTCATCATTATAAGCCTTGAATACATTAGAATACGAATGGGAACGATTTCCAGAGATCAAGAAAAGAAAGGCTAGATTATAGATTAATTAATTAAAATAAAAAATGGGTATTATTCATAATATTAAGAAAAACTTGTTCAATAAGGTGTAGATTCTGATCTTCGTAAGAGTAGTGAAGATAAAGGTTAAGAACATAAAGGAAGTTCATTCTTAAATTTACCAATAAAAGATTAATAATAATTAGATTCATTATCACCTGATATTAAAAATAAATAAAGCAGAGTATTTATATATTTAATTATTAGAATATAAGTTAAAATATATCTAGTTTTGGAACTAGTTAAATTAATAATTATTAAATAAGTTAAATAGATAAATTTAAGAGATTTCCAACTGAAAGAAAAGAATAAAGAAATAATACAGTAGATACTTAGAAAAAAGAAAGAGAAACTAGTCCAAATTAAAAGATATTTATCAAACAAACTACAACTAAAACAGAGAGGAAAATGGCATTTTTCGAAATTGATAATGATTATAGAGATTATGATCATATTGATTAGATAGCTAGTGAAGAAGTTAAGATTGTATTTTCCAATATCATACCAAATCTTGGACGTCATAAATCTACATTAGATCTCTGAAAACAATATTATTTATATATATATATATAAAATATGTAAAAATATTAACTAATTATAAATATTATAAGAATCAAATTCCCAACTCTAAAAGAGATTCAAATACATTCTAAATATCTAATTCAGCAACTGATTTTGGTGATTATAATTAATTTTTTTGAACAATTCTATTTTGATTAAAATCTTATACTACTTCTTCTCCAAAAGTATCAACTAACTTTCTAATCTAAAATAATTTAAATTTTATCTATTACTTTATTTTATAATTCTTCTCTTTGTATCTTTAATTTTCTATATTTATTCTCATATAAATAGAATAAGATTTAACTATTTACTTTTCTGGCATGTCTAATTAATCCATCATTTGATCTAATCATGGCAGTAATATAAATTGGCCACATCAATAAAAATATTATTGTATATCTAAAAGTATACTCTTCATCAACTATATTATAAGCAGTCAACCATAAATAAAATAGAATTGTATAAATTATAACTGAAATAGGAACAATAATTATTGATGCCAATACTTTAAATGATGCAACTACATCCTTACCAGATATCTTAACTTTAGATCCAGCTAAGGCAGTTTTCCTTTCTTTCTCTGCATACATATTCAACATTATCGTTATTGGAATAGTCATAATGTATCCAGGAAATGCAAAGAACAAACAAAGTAATGTCATAAAAATATTAAATCCAATTATTTGGAGATCCAAATATATTCTCTTTTACATTCTCATAACTTCCCAATCTCTTACACCCAAAGCTTTANATAAGAATTGTCATCATTATAAGCCTTGAATACATTAGAATACGAATGGGAACGATTTCCAGAGATCAAGAAAAGAAAGGCTAGATTATAGATTAATTAATTAAAATAAAAAATGGGTATTATTCATAATATTAAGAAAAACTTGTTCAATAAGGTGTAGATTCTGATCTTCGTAAGAGTAGTGAAGATAAAGGTTAAGAACATAAAGGAAGTTCATTCTTAAATTTACCAATAAAAGATTAATAATAATTAGATTCATTATCACCTGATATTAAAAATAAATAAAGCAGAGTATTTATATATTTAATTATTAGAATATAAGTTAAAATATATCTAGTTTTGGAACTAGTTAAATTAATAATTATTAAATAAGTTAAATAGATAAATTTAAGAGATTTCCAACTGAAAGAAAAGAATAAAGAAATAATACAGTAGATACTTAGAAAAAAGAAAGAGAAACTAGTCCAAATTAAAAGATATTTATCAAACAAACTACAACTAAAACAGAGAGGAAAATGGCATTTTTCGAAATTGATAATGATTATAGAGATTATGATCATATTGATTAGATAGCTAGTGAAGAAGTTAAGATTGTATTTTCCAATATCATACCAAATCTTGGACGTCATAAATCTACATTAGATCTCTGAAAACAATATTATTTATATATATATATATAAAATATGTAAAAATATTAACTAATTATAAATATTATAAGAATCAAATTCCCAACTCTAAAAGAGATTCAAATACATTCTAAATATCTAATTCAGCAACTGATTTTGGTGATTATAATTAATTTTTTTGAACAATTCTATTTTGATTAAAATCTTATACTACTTCTTCTCCAAAAGTATCAACTAACTTTCTAATCTAAAATAATTTAAATTTTATCTATTACTTTATTTTATAATTCTTCTCTTTGTATCTTTAATTTTCTATATTTATTCTCATATAAATAGAATAAGATTTAACTATTTACTTTTCTGGCATGTCTAATTAATCCATCATTTGATCTAATCATGGCAGTAATATAAATTGGCCACATCAATAAAAATATTATTGTATATCTAAAAGTATACTCTTCATCAACTATATTATAAGCAGTCAACCATAAATAAAATAGAATTGTATAAATTATAACTGAAATAGGAACAATAATTATTGATGCCAATACTTTAAATGATGCAACTACATCCTTACCAGATATCTTAACTTTAGATCCAGCTAAGGCAGTTTTCCTTTCTTTCTCTGCATACATATTCAACATTATCGTTATTGGAATAGTCATAATGTATCCAGGAAATGCAAAGAACAAACAAAGTAATGTCATAAAAATATTAAATCCAATTATTTGGAGATCCAAATATATTCTCTTTTACATTCTCATAACTTCCCAATCTCTTACACCCAAAGCTTTAAGTTTATAATTATATAGTTTGATTTCAGTCAATACTTAATTTACTTCAGGATGATCCTTTAACTTATAAAATGCTTATAGAAATCTATATATATTTATAGAATATTAAACCTTTTTGTAAGCTAAAGAAGATCTTGAGGAGAAAGTCTTGTTCTATCAGGTAAATATAAAGATCTTCCTATCATAACTGCAGATAAATGGGAATAACTAGGAGCTTAAATAGTTACAGATTTAAGTTGCTATTATATTTTAGATTACATACTTATTCTATTTCTAGTAATAATTTACTTATTGCTTATCTCTTATTGATAGTATAAGTATCAATTAATTATTAGTTTATTTCATAAGGAACTCCAAATTCTACAATAACTTTGGATCTGAATTTATGTCCTTTGAAATAATTTAATCCAACTGGTTATAATTTAACTTTTGTTTAATATTTTTAACTAGCTCCTAAAGCCATAATACATATTCCTGGTTTTAAAGGTAATAAGGTAGTATTATCATGTGATCCTCCTTCTGGGAATATTCCTATACATTTTCCTTATTTCAATGCTAACCAAACTTATTCAAACATTTAGGATTGATCTACTTTTGGTTAAACTTTATATTTATTATCTTTAATGCGAACTTAACTTGAATCCTCACATTGAACTTTAATTTTAGTGTCACTAAGAATTTCAACTATTAGTATTATTGTGTCAATCTATTATGATATTTTAATTTACTCCTTATATAAGTATTGAATCATGGATTTGACATTATTTTGTAAATTGAGAATTTTCTCCAAATAAATAAGTTCCATCATACTTCTTTATTATACCACTTCCAACTTTAGCTAAATCTTATGGTCTTTCAACTGGAATTCCACCTAGAGCTCTTCCTATGTTTCCAATAATTGGTTTTCTCATGCTCTAATGATATAATATGAATGATACTTTTGCAGCTGCAATAAAGTTGATCTTTCTAGTCATATTAGATATAATTAACTAAAGATGTGATAAATTAATACTAATGGATCAATAAATTGATTGTTATGATTTCCATAGAGTAGGATAGGACCATCCTAATAAATAAAATTGATGTAATTACTTTTGGAATATTTTCTTATCCAATCACTTGGATATCTCTAAAAAAAGTATGAGTTACAACTCTTTAATATTACAAAAAAGGTATACTTTGAGAATAACTTTGCAAATTCGTAAGCCATCCTGTTAAATAATTATTAAAACTTTATTTTCTTGAAGAATCTGACTTTTATAATTAAGTTGTTAAATATTTAATCATTTAGATTGAAATAATACATATTATGAGAATATTATATATATATATATATTTATTTAATTAATTATATGATATTGTCAATACAAATCAATTTTATTATTGTTCTATTCATCATCATCATGAGTTATACGTATTTTTTATTTTTATAGGTTGATATTATTCAATTATTCAAACTTTTGTAAATTATTTAAAGTTTATTTTTCCTATTGATTCCTGAATTGTTAGAGTATTAATAAGATAAGTAGAAATAAGAATATACACAAAAGAATTTTTGATTATAAGGACCAATGTGTTTATAATGGTATTATATTAAGACTTAATTAGAAAGTATAATAGCATTGTATTTTAGGATCAGACTTTTCTCTAGATAAAATCTCTTAAAATCTATCATCTATTTTTTTTGAACTTTTGCATTTCTCTTCACTTCTAATAATTCCAAAGAATAAATGTTTTCTCAATTTATTCTCAACAGGAGCATTACATACTAAATTATAACTTTGACTTGTTGTATTATAAAAGATTAGACTATTATTACTAACTTATATTATTTATGTGTCTCTAATGAATATCTTATTCTCTGGATCTAAAAAGTGTTATGCTTATCCTAAACCACTATTATGTCTATATTTTTAATGGAAATTAGTTTGTAAAGTAATCATATTAATTTACTCTTTATTTATTATAATAGCAATATCTTTATTTAATAATCCAAATCTAATATCTTCAGAATCTAATTAAATTATACCTTCTGATTCCTAAGTTATATTTACTACCTCATTTTATCCAAATTGAAAATTAAATTTAAATAAACTTAATTTCCCTCTTTATTAATTCAATAATTCCAAGACTGCCAAATAATCTTAATAAATATCAAAATAATGACCACTTATATTAAATGAATACATATTAATAGGTTCAAAAGGATCATTTATATCATAAATTATTATTCCTTCATTTATAATAAATAAATTATCATCTTATAATATAATTTATTTGCATCCATTTCCATATTAATGTATTATAAAATATTCATC